CCCTGCTGGCCCCTCATGGATACGTGCCAGAATAATTTTCTCAAACAGCTTGCCCAGGATCAAGGTAAGACTAACTGGCCTATAGTTTCCCGGGTCCTTCTTCTTCCCCTTTTTGAAGATGGGAACCACGTTGGCCCTCTTCCAGTCCTCTGGCACCACACCAGAGCACCACGAGTGCTCGTACAGCTGTGCCAGGGGTTCTGCAATGACCTCAGCTAAGTCCCTCAGTACTCAAGGGTGGAGATCATCCAGACCAGCTGATTTGAATACATCCAGTCCCTCCAGAAGTTCCCTAACTAGTTCCTCACTAACCCTTGGCCTAGGTGTGCCTCCCCTGGGTTCATTCAATTGTGTTCATTTAGTATCTAACCAATCCTCCAGCAGCATAAGCTCCTTATTAATTGCAATAGCTATGGCATTCTGCTTGTCAGCAAGACCAGATGTGAATACCCAGTTCTGCTCTCTATTCCAGCAGCCTGCCTTAGCTCAGAAAATGTCTTTAATCCAAAAGAGATGGGCTTTGCCCCAAAGCAGAGGTTTCAGTGCTGTAGGAAAGGAACAGCCTCTAGTGTTTTGACCATTGTGATTTACAACCCAATGGAAGGTCAAAGAAGCTGAATTCTGAGTGTTCAAATGCAACAGGCTTTACACCATCACCTCATCATATGTTACTGCTGCTGCTGCTGAATGAAGTTTTAATGAGACAAGCAATTCTGCAAGGCCTCCTTTCATGAAGGCAAAATGAGAGGAAGGAATAAAGCTGGTGCCAAGCCCGTGTGGGGCTGCTCTTTTCATCAGCCAGAAATGTAATACAAGCCTGGGCTCGGATGGAGAGGATGAGAAGATAAAGCAGGTGGGCTACATGCCCTTCGTCTTCTGAGGTGGTTTCAGGGACAGGTCTGGTCCCAGGCTAGAGCTACGGAAGGAAAGCTGAGGACATTCACGCCAGACTTAAAAGGATGGGCCACCATGCTGTGAAGAGGTATCACAGTACCAACCAAGCTGCATGTGAAGCTATGAAGTCCCCCCTTCCAGAAACACTGATTTCAAGGCCCAAGTTTCCAGCTCATATTAACAAGGAGATCCGATTAAAGCAAAACGCAGCTCTGGTGTCTCTTCTTAATACCGATACATCCCAGCCTCCCCCAACATTCATGTTCTCCAGGGAGTGTTAGAGAGAAATCCTAGATAAGCCCAAGCCATAGCTGGGACCATACAGAAGCACAGCTGTCATGCAGTGTCAGACCACTGTGAGTATTTTGGAGAACCTCTATCCCGCTAAAGTGGAGCAGACCTTGGTTCAAAACAAGGCATGACAATCCACCAAGCACACACATCAAAGCTTGGCTGGGTTGGTTCAAACATTCAGCTAGCTTTACCGAGAGCTTGCGGCTATGCTGCTCTTCACATGTCAAAGAATGCAGAAACACTCATGTCAAAGTCAATTAATCCCAAAACTACTTGGACCGCTGCCCCCGTACCCACTCCCCAACCCCGAGGCACAAATGTCTGAACACATAGACACACTGCTTGCCTGCTACCTCATGATCTCAACACTTCAAAACCACAAGCCACTGTGCTCTCCTCACTGCCAGTATCTTCCATTTGCTCAGTGCACTCCCAGTGGCAGCCTGCATCACGTGAACCACCAGCCACAATGATCGGATCTGGGCTCTGGCTAGCTACATGCAGCAGTATTTGGTCTGTTTTATTGACTGCCACTGGGCATTAGGTTGATGGCTTGAAGCCCCCGATATTCCCAGTTCAACATCCTGCCAGACCTGCCCCTTTGGTCCTTGTCCCCCTGCCTTGCATAATGGAAGGCTGCTCTGGAGGTCTGACTTCAGGTTCTTTCCCCCATATCCACGGCGTGCAAAACTGGTCCAGGGTGTTATCAGCTCTCTGTAGCCATCCTGGAGAGTCTGTCAATCGCTTCCCCAAACAAGCATTTCAGGACATGGGAAGAGGGATGAAAAGGTCTGAGCAAGTGCAGGAGGTGAACAGCTGTGATGAAAGAAGTGGCTTGTTAGGAAGACCCCTTCTCCTGGCACTGAGCAGCGCCCTGGGACCAGATGGCTGCAGTCATCCATCCTAGAACTGGGTGAATTTTAGCGAGGCTGATTAGGCGCAGCCTTGCTTTTCATGACACGATAGATTTGAGATCATACTACTCTCCAGTTAAACCTACCGTTCACCTGAGCTATGAGAGCACCAGCGAAGCCAACCTACCTGCCATGCCACAGCCAGCTGTGAGATCTCTCGCCCAGACATGCCCTCTGTCAGCTTGGCAATATCAGAGCACTTCTTCCCATAGTCAAACTGGGCCAGCTTCAACCGCCTGAGGGCAGAAACAGCCACGTTAGTGCCTGTGCATCCACGCTGGGAGGGGAATGGGGATAGCAGGGGTGGGAGTTTCCAAAGGACTCTGCTTCTGCTGAATGGGAGCAGAATTAAGTCAGTGTTGCAGCTTGCTGAAAAGCTAGGCTGGGTAAGAAGGAGCAACATGGTTGAATGCAGGCATGGAGTGTTTCTGTGCCAGAAAAGGGGATGACAGCCCCGAACAGGAGGCTGCTAGAACAAGGGGATAAGGAAAGACATTGTCCCAACCCTCAGATAACCACTCACCTAACACATAATTGATGCTATTGTGTTAAAAGTAAATGCATCTACGACACAACAGGAGGCAGGGCTCGGCAACTTGCCCTCTGGAGGGGTGTTGTAAGGTTTGATCTACTCAACAGAGCTTTGCTGGCCTTGCTACTTCAAGCAGGGATGTGAAGAGGGGACATCCCTCAGCTATGGAAGGTCTATGGCAGCCTCCCCTTATCCATGACTGAACACAGCTATGACAAGAGAAGGCAGCTTTTGCCACCTCCAGCTCTGTTGCCACTGGGGGTTCCAATTGAGACAAGCCTTAAGTCTTGCATGTGGGGTATTGCTGGCCAGAGCAACCTGTGCAAGGCTGCCAAAGGCAGTGGGGCAATTCTGACCCATCTTGAACTCCTGCTGAGAGTGGTGGTTAAGACCACACAACTTTCCTGAACCCAGGTATTGGTATCCCAGCAAAAGTGTCAGGAGCAGACTGAAAAACGAGATTGAGGCATCAACCCACCGCTCAACAGCCACCACGTGAGCCATTTTACCTCTCTGCAGCAGCTCTCTTTTGGAAGTTAGGGAACAAAAGACCAAAACAGCCCTGCCAAAAACTCTCATTAATTAGTATCCCCCGCACTTGTTGGCACCATTTCTACCTCCCTTCATGAGGTTCACACCAAGTGTTCCAGAGTTTTATATGCAACATAAAGAAGGGGAATTTGCTAGGGAGGCTGACTCTGCAGCCATTTGTGGACTGACGGACAGAAGGACAAGATAGCTGAACGTACAGATCGTCACATAGTGCGACACAATAGGAGTCTGAGCAGAGCATTAAATATCCAGATGCCTGGGTTTGGTTCCAGGCCTTCAACTTGCTCTGAGCCCTACTTTATTCAAGTCAGTGGGTCAGCGGCCCTAAGCATGGCAAAAAGATTGAAGTGGGAGATGTCAGGGCAAGTGCTGGGAATTCAACACTGGTTAACTGTGAACCAGAGAGAAGAAAGTTTGGGGTGCACGGTGCTCTTCTGCAACACTTAATTCTGCAAAACTGCAACACTTAATTCAAATTGGAGCCTGGAGACTCACTGCAACTCGTCAAGGCAACACAAAAATTCCAGGCTGAGGAGAAGGAGAAGGCTGTGGTCTCCGGTTACCAGAATAAACACAGGGGGCAAAGGCAGGAAGGGCAAAACCCAGAGGCACCCACCCTCCTGATGATGGGATACTTACTGTTTTCCCTCAGTGGCTGGCTTCAGGACGTGCTTATCAAAATACATCCTGACAAGCCGCTCCCGCTCTTCTAGCTGCGGCAGGTCAAAATTCACCATCTCATCTATCCGGTCGTTGATGGCCCAGTCAAACTGCTCTGGCTGGTTACTCGCTAAAACAAGCATGAACCTGGGGGAAGAGGTGTTGAGGATAGGTGTACCATGCAGATCCAAAGCAGAGAGCCCTGGCTGCTGTGGCCCACAGAGCCCTAGACATCCACGACCCATAGCTTTATTATAAAACTCCTCACACAGCTTAGCAATGGAGCCTAAATTAAGACCATCTGTCACAGTCTGACACCGTAGCTGGTTAGAAGCATCCTGGCATACACTGAATAAGCTGTGCATCTCACCCCACTGATGTGATCCAGCAATGGAAATGTACATGTGATGCAGAAAGCGGCATTCATCGTACTTCCCAGGTGACAGACTGGGGCTGGAAATAGAGGCTTGTGCTATCAGCGCAGAAGCAGCCGGCTGGAGCATGAGAATTCCTACATGAGCCATCACGGACCCCTCTGATGTCAGCCTGATCCAGCCTGGCTAAAGGCCGGTTACTCACATCTCTAGATGGGTGGTTCCACTCCAAAAGGGTCACCCAGCCTTAAATTCACCTCGCCATGGAGCACATCTTCATTGTCTCCATGCTGAGCCTAAGATGGCTAGACAGAAGTAGCCCCTGCTTGCTCTTGGCAGCACTCCCAGGCTCACCACGCAAACAGGCCCTCGGTAGCATAACTAAATCCAAAGGGTTCATGACCGCAGCATGGAAAGCCAGTGGCACGATTCAATCCTTTGCTGCTGGGGCCATCAGGGTGAGGTCTGTTCTGGGGAGAAGACATGGGCCTGGAGGGCTTGAAGGCAGCAACTCTCAGCAGCACTCATTCCCCTTAAACAAGGGAAACATTTAACAGCAGGGAGGCTGAAAGTGCCAGGTCAACTGCTTTTGATTCAAAGCTGGGGAATAGCTGGCAAGTTTCTCTGTATACAAAAGGCTTCTAAGAAGCCGCCTCCTCTCGCTCACCAGCCAGGACACAGGTGAAAAGGCCGACTGGACCACTCCATGCTCCACTGCCCCAGGTGCTGCTCCATCTAACACCTCTTGCCCTCTCGCTCCTTTCCTTTTTTTTTCCTTGTAATACTGCTCTTTCCGATGCTACCAGCTTAATGGAGCATTGGAATTTGAAATTTTAACAGCGGCTCTTGAGATAGTCACAATCTCGCCATCTGTTTAAATCCAGGTCTACTGGGACTGTGGTCTTCACCTTCACTTCCCCAGGACCAAAAAATCAGAGACATGAATATATTTCTTTTTGATGACAAGGCCTTTCCTCTGAGGCATTATACAGGCAGGATTTGGAGAAGAGCTAAAGCACAGATGAGCTTCTTGAGATAAAGGTTCAACATGTAGCTCTTTCATATAGGACTGGCCTCGTCTTAAGAAGAAGGAGAAGGGTAAGTCAGTGATCATAAGAGCAGAGCTGTGAGAAGTCTTTGGACCTGTCCTGGGACAATCAACACTGAGGGTCTCCGCTAAGTTAACTGGGGAAGCCACACCTGGCTATGCAAGCTGTAGCACTTGTTACGGGCAATAGCAATTCCCTGGTACTGCCACGTCACAGTATTCCTCAGGGTATCACTGCTGCTGGTGGATTTACATGTGCCATTACCGTTACCCAAATATATCCTCATTTATTACTGTGGGAAATGCCCTTTCCTGGCAGAACACGGCTGTAAGAAGTTCTTTAAGTTAAGCAGTGCATGAAAAAATAAGACACATTCATTTGCTTAGAATGGCCCCATGCAGAAGGCCCAAGCACCACTGAGTGTGCATCAGAACAAGCAACTGCTCCGGGGGATTGGCACAAGGGTACCAGCCAGCACCGGCATGTGCAGCCCCAGACATGGGCTAAGGCAGATCAAGGAGGGTGTTGGAGCAAGGGACTGGCCCTGTGTTGTTCCCCATTTAGCTCTAGCTTGCAAAGTGATGATAGACAAATAGCACTGCTTCCATTTGTCTACAGACCCCATGGCCTAAGGCCTGCAGAGCCATCTACTGCTTGGAGGAAAGCGTGAACTACCAACACTCTTCTGTTACAGCTCTGCTCATTACTGCAGGGCACCAGGGCGTCTGAGCAGACTGCCTACATGGCAGGGTGCAAGCTAGAGGACAGTCCTGAAGGTTACCTGTCGCTTAACACTTTTATACTACTGCCATCCTTTGAACCTTTGTCATTGGCCCTCTAAAAGCATTACCCTCTGTATCTACTTACTTGTTGCTGCCTCCTTGGTCTGGGAAATGCTGCAGGTACTGAAGAAGCATAAGCAAGGTGTAATACTAAATACTCATTGTGCTTAGTTCTTTGTGCATGTACAGCTTTTTCAGGGTTCCTCCAAAAACGAGGGTCCAAAACTCTGCCTTTAACTTACAGATGGCGAAACTGAGGTGTGGGACCTTGCTCAAAAGCATGAAACACTTAGGTGTCATGTCTTGGCCTCCAGTGTCCCATGTAGTAATACAGTTTAAGGGTTTACCAATGTATACCACAGTTCACTTTTCAGGCTGTAATGCTTCTGGATGCCAACAAGTCCCAGGCATGTACTGAGAGGAACACAGTAGGGTCACAGGGACATGAGGCTACTAGAGCAACGTGGATTCTGCTACCTGTGTTCATTATTGGGTTTTAATCACTGGGGACTGGCTTCCTGTCACTGGAGGAGGAGACAGCTATTTTTGATTTGGTCCCTTTGCAATAGGAGTTGTTTCAATATTAGGCAGCTTTGGTGAAGACTCCAACAGGATTTTAAAGGGAAAAATGGCTGCATTTAAGGGCAATTATGATCACAGGGAAATGATCCCCACTGAGATAAGCAGTTCTCTGCAGCGGGGAAATGCTAACGTGATGGTCAGATAACTCAGCATGGGGCTTTTGTAAACTCCACGATGGAAGAAAGGGAGAATAAAACCCTCCAATTTGTATGTCCTTGCCTCAGCTACCCAACACAAGAGCTTTCAGCTGTTGCAAGCAGATGTGAGCTCCTGGCCTGCAGAGCATGCACCCTTACTTGTTGCTATGCTGCCCAGTCCGGTGCAGGAACGCATTCAATGTGGCTCTTAGATCTTCACTGATTTTCTCCTGCAAAGGTAAAGATGGGAGATGATCAGCTGCCTGGTGACCAGGGCCAGGCTGCAACCAACAGGAATATTAACACTACCTTCTACTACTCCAGCACTCACATTCTGGTAGGATTTAGAGACCCTGTCAGGGATAGGGGTCTCATTCTGGGTGGCGTTTTGGAAACAGAGCATTCAAAAGAGCTCACCACCTATGTACATAGCACAAAGGGAAGGGAAACTGAGGTACAGCAGGATACAGTGGCCTGCCCAAGGTCACTCGACAGATCAGCAATACAGCCTGACTACTACATCAGGCCTTTATCCCTCAGCTGCATAAACACCTCCACAGAGAATCATGCACTTTCTAGGTAAGTCATTACAATCCTGAAGCCACAGGGCTGGAAAGGACCTCAGGGGTAGCTAGCTTGACCTGCAAAGATATAGAATTTGGTGTTTCTTGTCAGATGGGGGGGAAAAGACTAACAGGGAAGAGAAAGCTATGCTTGCCTCTATAAATGCGTGTCTGCTCTTTAAATAGACAGCACAGCGTCTCGGATCAATGCATAGCACACACATTTGTTTTGAAACACACGGCTCAATTCAGGCTTTTTTATTTCCTGGCACAGCTTTGCTAGTGGTGTGGAAACACCACCCAAATACACCAGCAGCCCAAGCTGCCTGGCTGTCAGAAGAAAGCAAACCTGCAGGGCCTGGGGCTGCCACATGGCCTATTAGTCTCTCAGCTGGGTCAGCCAGCTGCAAGCCCTCCACAGCAGGCAATCTGTGCCACCCACCTCCATCTAGAGGAGGGAATACCCCAACCCACAGTCAGTCCTGAGCAGCGCTTGCCCATGCAGCTGCAAGAGGCTAATTTCTCCTCTCAGAGTCACTTAATTATGTGAGCAGTAGGGCAGCTGCCAGGTCCAATCTCTCACCCATTGAGGCTAACTAATCAGGCTAAATGAGAATGCTTCTGGCTCAGCGACCGACCCCACAGCACCCGCAGAAGGAGTACTTACCGTTGCCCTTTTCCTCAGAAACGCATCTGCTTCATCCACGAACAGCAAGAGGCTGTGACGGGGAGATCAAAGCAAGGAGAGTCACGAGGAGGCAGACACAGCAAGAGGAATGGGCAAGACCTATGGGGGCCAACACCATTCTTCCCGTATCAGACACAACAGAGATTTTGGAGCTAAAATCCCCATGGGTGTGCATTAGAAAGGGTTGCTGCGTGGGTGAAATCTGGTCCCCAATCCAGAAGTTTCAGAAATGTAAAGGCCCCCAAAGCTAGTCTTACACAGCAGACCTTGGGACCAATATGCCGTGGCTCACGTACTCCAGGCTGAGCCTGCTGTTCTTCCATGGATATGAAAACCCGACAATAACCACAGAATAAAACCATTCCCCACTCACTGACCAAGTTTTCCCCACCACTTGCTTTATTAGTTTTATTTATTTCAGCACTCTGGTGGAAATAACAGTTTTATTATTTATTCATTCGTTTCTCCGCATCAAGTCAATGAATAATTCAGAAAAAATAAATGCTCTGGTAACGCCAGACTAGTGTTGGTCCCGAGAGAGAGGGTATGAAGATGTGTATCAATAAAAGAGGCCGAGTCACTTAACAGCTGCAACAATTTGTATCGCGTTCTCATCTAACTTCATAGCTACGGCTTGCCTTTCAAGTGATCCAAGCACAGCTCGTAATCTTTTACTCTGCTTTAGTGTTGCTAGCAGCGTTTTTGGCTGCTCTCTGCCTCTACAAAAAGCACCCTTAGCGAGAGACGCTTCTACCGCTACTGCCCAGATTTCAGCAGCTCAGCACAGAACAGCTGAATTACAACTCAGAAGCAAAGGGTGTCACTTGTTGGGCCCCCTTCAGAAACAGATGTTGTATAAAACTTTGTGTGGGGCTACAGGAAAGTGTACTGATGAGAACCAACACACATTTGTAGCCCTTATTCTTTACTTGTAGGTATGCAGCTGTGCCGATGTGCATCAAACACAAGTTTGACTGCACAGAAGTTCAAATGGGACCAGGGAACCTGGCTTGAGCAGTGCTATGAAATGTGTTACTCTCGGAAGACCATTCCCCAGCAAGCTAGGCAGTTTAACAACACAGCTAGGCCAGTCCATTGTGTTTCAGTTCACCCACATTCCTTAGGCGTCTCTCTTTCCAGTCCCCAAAAAAACTTAGACCATCAACTTATCCCCAATAAGTTTATTCTATAAGTTGTAAAAATTTATATTTAGGGGAAATAGAAACATTTTGGTGATGAATGCGGCCAAGTATCGATACAGACACTGCAAGAGAAGGTCTGTCCGAATCAATCAGACTTCACATAAATCATCAATTAGCCGTCTCCTACACGCTGCAAAATAGGACAGGAACGAAACGAGATGGCTCCCAGCCCTGTGCTGGATTGTAATCTGCCTGGGAGCAGAGAAGGTGCCCAAGTGAAAAATGAAGCTGGCTTGCTAACTAGCCTCAGAACTTCCTTTGGGCTGCAGCAGACATCTTGTGCCAGGCCAAAGAGCCTAGCTATGCTCCTTCCCTAGAAAAGGAAGCTAGGCTTTAGCCAGAATGAACGGACTGCTCTCTAGGAGGCAGTGCCTTCAGCTTCCCAATGGATTCCCATGCTTCTAAATGGTTTCACCACTAGATTGGGGGGAAAAAGAGGTTTTGAATCTCCTCTTCTTGCTGGAGGCTCATGGGAGATGCAGGCAAGCAGCAGGATCTCAACCACACAGATGAACAAAACCTGAGTGGATGAACTGGGAAGCCTGCTTGGCGTGGCTCTCTCTCAGAATTGGCTAATGTCAATTTAATTGCAGTGACCAGTGGGTACAGTAACCGCTTTTCTACTTGGGGGTGTTTGATTTGCAAGCACCAGGTTAACAGATGCACCCTTGCTCCAGGTCTCCTAAGAAAAGGTAAAGACCAAAGCAAAGCTCAGGTGCCAGAAGAACATCAGCTTACCCTCTCCTACTCGTGTTGGCCCAGTCAAAGAGCTTGTGCATGGCAGTAACTCCTTCCCGCCCCATAGGGGCGACATCGCCACCGGTCATGATGGCATAATCCATGCCTGAATGCATGGCTAATTTCTGGGGGAAAAAAGAAAAAAGATGGAAGAGGGAGTGAGTGGAGAGTAAAACTTCCTTGTTCCATAGGAGAACTTGCAGAGTGAGGAGGGAAAGGGACCACGTTCAACACTGGAGCCTCTCTGGAGAAGATTGTGAGGTGGAAGCTTACAAATCACTTGGCAGCTGAAAAATTAAACTAATTATTACTAAATCCATCAGCAGTGCAGTGAGCTCATTCAGTACTCGGGGAAGCAGGAGGCCATGAGATTTGAACCTGCATCTCTCTGACCTCCTAACCACAGCACTCAAACCACCATGCTAGAGATTGTGCATTAATCAGGACTGCTTCCAGCCCTTCCTTTAAAGCTGGCCCCATGGGCAGCCAAGCAAGAGAGATGCTCTCTTTCTTCTGGCCCAGCACAAGCGGGAGGGTATGCGGCTCAGTGAGATGACTGCTTTCCTAGGCAGGAGCAGACCTGGGTTCTAGCCTAGATCCTTCCCCCTAATGGGGTAAAAGCTTCCCCTCTGCATTGCTCTCAAAGTGAAATGGCCCAGCTTCAAGAGGTGTGCTGGAGGGGACTGGATAATGCATGCCTACACCTGCAGCACAGGGGTTTGAGGACTGTGCTGAGAAGTGGGACAGCTGCAGGTTCAGGCCTCCTCTGGGTTTGGGGGGGAACCTAAAACTAGGCTCTTTTGCTTCCTGCTGCAAGGCCCCTGGTTCCTGGTTTTTTCTGGTACACATGCACACAGTGCATGCCCTGCCTCAGCCAGTGTGCAACCTCATGTACGCACAGGAGCCCTGTGGATGGTTACGCATCCCTGCTGCAGGGGTAATGGAATCCCAAACTGTTCAGGAGCGCCCAAAAAGGCCACTTCTGTGGCTGGAAGAGCTGCCATGTCAGCACATCGAGGGGAACAGAACACAGCTCTTAGACTTCCTGTAGGTCTGGATGCCACCTTTCACTCAACTGCTGCAGCCCATTCACCCACTCACTGCCCACCTTATCTGTCAAGGCTGTAGGCTGTCCAAAGCAGGGGTGGGTTTTCCTACATGTCTGTACAATGCACTAGGGCCTGAAGCACAACTAGAGCCTCAAGGGACCAATGCAGTACCAACAGGGAGAGGAGGGGGGGAGGATTTCTGCCTTGCTCTGCTTGCTGATAAGAGTTAAAAGCTCCAACTTCTTTGATATTCAGCCAAAACTATGGAAATTGTCCCTTTCTTTCGGAAGGCAGTTGTTAAAGCATGACACAGGTTTATTTGTCAGGTGGCTGCTAAATGAAAAGTTTCACAGAGAAGCCCTTGGAGCATGCTGGCAATTTCTCCCATAAACTGGCAGGTAAGAAAAAATCTGTTCTGCTTTTGCCAGAATCCCAGCCCATCCATCAGGCCTCTGTGACAGGATGTATCCAGTGTTTACAGAGCATGGCCAAGGAGGTGACTGCTTCCCACAGGCCACTGTTTAGCTCGATGTGTGGCATCGTCGAAGGGCAAAATACACTGGTAGAGCCTCCCCCTCTGCCCTTGCCCAAACTCTTCTAGTGAAGGCTGTGGAGTAATGAAATGAGCCTCTGAATTAAGCATGCCCTCTCTGCCTGACGGTCAAATGCTCGTGGCCAATTAGCCTGCCGCTGCCTGTGCCTGGCTTGGTGAATGTTTCAATCTGTCCCCAAACATAAAATCATCTCTCTCAAGATCTTGAAAGCTAGAACAGCCAGTCTGTCAGAATTCTGGCAGGGTTTTTACCTTGGCAAAGAGTGTTTTTCCAGTACCGGGTGGGCCATACATAAGGATATTCCTGTAGAGACTTTTATTCTTTTTCGTATTCCTTGTTGCTATGGCAATGTCTCTCACACGGGCCTCCAGTTTTGGCTACAAGAAAAATGCAAGGTTTAGGAAACAGACATCAAGCTGAAGGATGCTGGGGCATGTCTAAGCTTCATGCACTGATAGAAGGAGAGAGTGATCTGTGCTGTCAGAGAAAGCTGCAGTCTCAGGACTCAACCTCTCAGCCTGAATTCCTGCAGCTCACTGGCTTGGAGTGGACTTGTGCCCTGTTCTGCTTCAGGATATGCTGCATTTCAAGCCATGATTTGACTGTAATTATTGCAACTCAAGCCACAACCAGGGAACAAGGCTATTAGCTATTACTAATTTATGGACTAAATAACCACCTTCTCTTGGATGTCCTAAAAGTCCCCCCTCTTAGGTTAGGTAACAGGCCAAATAAGAAACAAATACTGGTAGTAATAACTCTTCCATTGAAGTGAGAAATGAACTCATGCCTATACATATTCATATACTTGCAAAGATGCCCAGGGTAGCTATTCCTACCAAAGCATATCTTTCTAACCGGCCCTAAGCAGCCTTTTAATTCACCCAGTATTAAGGAACTTAATTCAGTAGCAAAAGTGCAGAGTCAGGGCTAATTAGGGGGTTGACAGCCATCCACAAGGTGTTTCAAGTCTAGCACATATATTACTTGGTTCTCTGGCCCTGAAAATGGATATAAAAGCGCTAAAATTTCACAGATTAGAGAGGACAAGTGGAACTCTGACAGTGTATACAGCCCCATTAGCACGCTGCTAGAGGAAAGAATCATGGCAAAGGAAGTGCTGAATTAAGACTTCCAAGGACTTTGGGCCAAAGGATCAAAGGTTACTAGCGTGTTTAATGTGTGCCACACTGAACACGGGAGCGTATTTACACTCCCAGTGCCCCAAGGGGTGGCATTTTTAGCGTGACTGAACTGTAACTCAATTGAAAGCAAAAGCAAGGCAAGACTTTGATGCTTGGTTATGTAAGAGCCTTGAAGGCTTGAGAGTGCAAAAGCAGGTACTTACACTGAGAACGACTCCTTCAAGAGCATCTTGAGCTTTGCTGGTAAGACGCTTACCCACCTGGGGAGAACAAATCCCATCAGTGACAGGCAGAGGCCACCCCCAGACCTTACCAGCAGTTAGCCTGGGCAAAAGACTCATAACAGAATTAGAGACAGAGTAAAGTTAATGTGCCCTGGCAATCCCAACACCTGTCAGTCTTCATAGCATGGATCAGAAATGAGTTCATATGGCTTCCCCACTCCCTTCCAAGAAACACACTGTGAGCCCATATGAACACTGCTTCCAGAGACAGGGTAAATAAACACCATAAAGGCCATGCATAAGCACAGCATGGTGCTCTGCATCCCCAGCTAGCAGCAACCCAAAGTAACAGCGGCACTTACCTTGATAGGGTGTTTCAGTGACTCCAGCACCGTGATACGCGAGGTTTCTCTCACCAGGGAGGGTTTCCCCAGACGTGCTTCTATGTATCGCCCTGCAACCCCTGTAGCATTCTTGGCAGAGTAAATGCCCACAGCCAGCAGCGTCAGGCCTGCCACCTGGAAGAGACAGGAGGAGTCTGTTGAGCTGCTTCTGCAAGAGAATGCCATCAGCTGCATGCTTCTGGCATAGATTCATAGATGTCTGGGTCGGAAGGGACCTTAGCAGATCATTGAGTTCAACCCCCTGCCCTGGGCAGGAAAGAGCACTGGGGTCAGGTGACCCCAGCCAAGTGCCTGTCTAGTTTTCTCTTAAAGACCCCCAAGCAGGAGAGGAGCACTACCTTCCTTGGAAGCCCATTCCAGATCTTGGCAACCCTTACCTATAGAAGTTTTCCCTGACGTCTAACCTAAATCCATGGGTGACTGGTGCCTCCCAAATCTGGGAGGCACCAAATCGCCGTTGGGGGTGGATGTGCCTCAGCGGCTGATTGCCAAAGCCAGAATCACCAGTAGTGAAACTGGAAGTGCACTTCTGCCAGCACTTCATTTCATGGCTGGCGCTTCCAGGAGGTACATGGCTAATCCCAGAGGGTGCACATGCACCCACGTGCACCCTCTATGTGTCACCAAAGCCTAAATCTGTTCTCTGTCAGTTTGTGGCCATTGTTCCCAGTTACTCCAAGGGGTGCCTTGGTAAACAGAGCATCTCCTATTCCTTGCTGCCCCCCCCGCCGCCCCCACTGAATTTATAGGCAGCCACAAGATCACTTCTCAGCTTTCTCTTGCAGAGGCTGAAGAGATCCAGGCCCCATAATCTCTCCTCATAGGGCTTTGCCTGCAGGCCCCTAACCATATGAGTGGGCCTCGTCTGGCCCCTCTCGAGGTTGTCCACATCCCTCTTGAAGTGTGGTGCCCAGAACTGAACACAATACTCCAAGTCAGGAGGCTGCTATCAAGTCAGGGGGATTTAGACTGTGCTCAGGGTTTTGCCCAAATACACGGGGGCAGGCACGTACTAAAGCCTGATTCTATGCATCTTACAGCTCAGGTGAGACTGGAATCAATCTTGAGCTGTGCATTCATTGCGGTCAGAGGAGCAGGGGGCCAGAGTGGCAAGACAATGCTGGGATCACAGCTGAGCGTAAAGTGCAGACAGGCGCTTCAAAACGGAACAGCATGCCACTGGAAAAGGCCAGGATAATCTGCGGTGTTTTCTGCTTGGTTAATCCAAACCATGAGAGTGCAGCTGAAAATTAAGTGCACTCTCAGAGCTGGACTACTCCCAATTATATCGATCACTGTGTGGTCCAGGGAGGATTATCACGGCCCATCAATTTGCATTTGTGCTAATGGCAGGGGAAGAAAAGGCTCATCTTGAACGAATACAAGCCTACCAGAGCGGTTGCTCCTAGAAAGGATGGACAGAATAGCCTAGACTATTCTCAAACCACCAGTAACATTCCAGGTCAAATTTGGCCCCACGCACTGGAAAAAAGCAAGCATCTACAAAAAAGGATTGTTTCCATTGCACATCTTCTTCCATGTCACCAGGGACTGCGGCAGCATTAGAGCAAGGAGAACTTTGCAAAGGAAGAGCTAGACACCAAGACCAGAAATGAACTTAAGCCATCTCTCTCTGTTCTCCCAAATGAGAGTGGGGTGGACAACTCCCACCAAGCACTGAACACAGCTGAGGTATGGGCTGTGTTTGAAGGGTCCTGCATTATCCTCCCCAATTTGGTGGTTGACAGAAGTCAATCACTGTGGTGCATGGCGACCAGTGGGGTCCCTCGAGGCTCTGTCCTAGGGCCTATACTTTTTTACATCTTCATTAATGATGTGGACATTGGTATCAGAAGCAGGCTGGCCAAGTTCGCTGATGATACCAAACTCTGGGGTAAAGCATCCACACTTGAGGACAGGACGGCGATCCAGGCAGATCTTGACAGGCTCATGGAATGGGCGGACGAGAACCTGATGGTGTTCAACACCGAAAAATGCAAGGTTCTCCACCTCGGGAGGAAAAACCCGCAGCACCCTTATAGGCTCTGCAGTGCTATGCTGGCTATCACTACGGATGAAAGGGACTTGGGGGTCATGACTGACCACAAAATGAACATGAGCCTTCAGTGTGATGCTGCGGTTAGTAAAGTGAGTAAAACACTGGCTTGCATCCATAGAAGCTTCTCAAACAAATCCCAGGACGCCATTCTCCCGCTGCACTCAGCCTTGGTGAGGCCGCAGCTGGAGTACTGTGGGCTCCACAATTCAATAAGGATGTGGAGAAGCTTGAGAGGGTGCAGAGCAGAACCACGCGCATGATCAGAGGTCAGGAAAGCAGACGTTATGATGAGAGGCTGAGAGCCATGGGGCTCTTCAGCCTGGAAAAGCGCAGGCTCAGGGGTGATCTGGTGGCCACCTATAAGTTTATCAGGGGTGCTCATCAGGATCTGGGGGAACGTCTGCTCAGAGTGCCCCAAGGGATGACAAGATCGACCGGTCACAAACTCTGCCGCGACCAATTCAGGCTGGACATAAGGAAGAATTTCTTTACTGTCCGAGCCCGAAGGTTTGGAACAGCCTGCCATCGGAGGTGGTTCAAGCACCTACATTGAACACCTTCAAGACACATTTGGATGCTTATCTTGCTGGGATCCTAGCTTCCCTGCTAACTTCCTGCCCTTTGGCCAGGGGCCTGGACTTGATGATCCTCCAGGGTGCCTTCCAGCCCAAATGTCTATGAAATCTATGAAATCATCCAGCTCAGCAGGGTTCTTGTTAGAGGTGGATCCAGTGGGGATGGAGTGGTGCGGTGCACACCCCCTTGCCCCTCCTTTAACTCAAGCTTCACCCAATCTTTAAAACCAACTGTCTGGGAGGTACAGCAGCATTCCTAGTTAGGCAGCAATGAG